TTTTTCTGGTTCAGAAGTTTACTGGACATTTTAAGTGGGTAAAAAGAAATGCTGGAATATGCAACATCAGAAACCATTTTAAATTCGACTGCTTCTGACACTACTGAAAAATACACAAAGCAGTTGAATTAGGAGAGGGTGGCATTTTGGCATGTGTGTGTGCATTGGTGTAGTGTGTGTATATTTGTGAAACAAATACATGATTAGAAATTCAAAGTATAATAAAGCTGCAGCTCTATTTAACCTGATTTCTAAGTGCTAAGATTTGGACAAAGAAAAGGATGAGAAAATATGAAGAACAGTACTAAAGACAAAGAGCTGACTTTCCAAGTTTTATGCTGAAATGACTCCTTTGAAACACTAGTTGTGAGTAAGCACCAATGTCTTTCAATTAAACAAAGGTAAAGTCTCCATCCCCATTTTTTGGTCTATAAGCAAGACTAAAATACAGTATTAAAGATGCAAAGTTTTTAACTGTTTTGTCTATTAGTCTGTAGGCATACATAGTCACTCCTAAATGCAGCATTATCTGAAGTTTTCATAAAGGCATGGCGGAGTAGAAGAAACCTCCTACAGGAGTGAGTCTAGCTTCTTACCACAATAGGAAACAGTGTAATAATCTTTCATAAATTTATTCAGGTACCTCTTAAAATTCCTAGATATCTGTTACTTTTTGTCTCCTGTTTGGAAAGCTTTCCAGGATTGGATTCCTTTTTTTCCCCCGATTCCTATTCACAGTTTGTTGAGATACAGCTTTTACTCGGCTGTTCTTATGCTAATGTTATCTTTTAGCTGAAGTATTTCTTGGTGTTTCTCCCTTTTTCCTCTTTGTTAGCACCGGTAAGGAATTTAGGTAGGACCCTTTCCATTCTGGAGAGAGGAGGCTACCTACAGCCTGTCTGTCAGGGTAACTGAACAAGCACAAGGTGTGGGCAATCAGTGCAGTATTATCCAAAGAAAATTGTGTTGGTTTTTAGTTGCCTGGATAAGAGACCAAACATTAAACTTGAGTGACTGGGGATCATTTCAGGAAGGCAGCCTGTTCTTCCTATGTTTTGTGGTTCTTAATTTTTAAAATTATTTATTTATTTAAGCATTTTGTGCTTTTTATTTGTTGTATTTGTGTCATGGGCACATTCCAATTTCTTCTAGTTATCTGCTTGAGCTAGCCAGTTTGAAGTTTGCTACAGCTTATTCCCAGTAAGCTGATTACAAAACCGAAACAGTTCAAGAAAGACTTTTTATTCCATTCCATACTTCATATACTGGTGGATGAAAGCAATACCTACATTGCCTCCCATTTTGCATGTGTAATTTTTCCATGTGTGTTTATCAGAATCAAAAATCCAGTGTTTCAGAGAGACAGGTAAGCTGTCAAGACGAAAATTTTGGACCTATACCTTTTTTTGCGTTCCAAAGAGTATGTAGTATTCAGTGACTTTTTTTTTTTTTTTAATTATTATTGTTTGTTTCCTTGTCTTTGGTGGAAGATCTCCTGTGTTTTCATGTTTTTGTTTTTCATGGCTATATCACTTTGGCACCCTGTGGTGATTCTGCAAGCATCTGGTTAGCCAAACCCCTTTGTTCTCCTTAGTTTTTTCTGACTAATCTCCCAGTTCATATATGTATTTTTCCCTTGGATACACAACTTTGCAGTCTTCACTGGTGAATTTCTTCCCGTTCTCAATCACACCAATTAATTGAGTCAACAATAAAACGCTCATGTTTTTAAAGAATGAAAAATAGTTTATTTTTGTGACAGTTTGTTCATTTTGCTAATGACAGTATTCTTTTAGGTTTTATATGCAAATAGAATTGCATGGAGTACTGACTGTCACAAATTATTTCAATTCCTTACTTTTTTTGTTTCTTCTTTTTTGACTGGGAGAGGGATGAAATAACAAGTTGAGTCCATGTTGCCTTGATACAAAGGCGGGATACTTTGCTACTGGAATAATTTTTCTGTTTTTCATGGCTTTGAAGTGGACCATCTACATGAAAAGAAACTGAGCCGAGTTCTCAGCAAAAAAAGTCAGTGTTAAGTCAGTGTTAGTCGAGGTGGTATTTAGCCCGCTTCAGTCATATTGGTTCCCTGGATGTTTCAGCATCGTTCTACAGACTCAGTGTCTGCTATCACCATCAAAATGTGGTAGCAGCTTCCAGACAACCTGAATTTACAAAACCTATTCCGTGTGGTGAATGAATATGCGAAGAAATGTTGAGACTAATGTAATGCTAAGGGTTAAAAAACCAAACGTAGCTGGTAGAGGTAACAGCATAGTAAAAGTGCTTACCACACTTATGCAGCTACTGAATTCTTGTTCAGAAATGTCCCTGGAGGATTCTTCGGATGAGCACCTGGGTATGTTGGTCCTCCTACTCATTCCTGTTTTTCCCATTATCTTTTCCATTGAGTTGTGTTGTATCAAGGGGCTGCCTGATAGCCAGAGTTGGAAAGTTGACCGAACTGAAAAATAACATGTTTTTTTCCCCCTTTACATCATTTTAAACAGGGATAACTTTTCTCCTGCAGTTTACGACATGTTCCCACAAGTGCTTGCACTGACACAGCTGAAAAGTCAGGCAGGGGAAGAAGGGAGGACCCAAGGAAGCCTGACCTGACAGTCCTGTACATTTTCACCACATTAGGGCTTTAGGTTTTGCTTGTTCTGTTGCCCTCAGTACTGTCTGTGGGTTTTTTGTTTTTCCTGTCATCCTTGTTTTGAATTTTCATGTGGACCAGCTGGCTGAGATGGCTAGATCCTTCAGTTGTCATCACTGGTGTGTTAGGGCCATTAGCTATAATTTCTGATGGACCCTGGCTATGCTGTGCCTTACAGGTTTGCTCTTCTACTGCCTAATCCCAGTGAAAGCAGAAGTTGATTGAGAGAATTTGCAAATCAAAATGATGACTTTAGTTGAGGAAGAGGACATGAAGTTTTTCTCTTACTTGAGAGTCTGTGCTTTCTGACTGAGGCAGTCATGGCCAGAAGATTTTACGAACCCGTAGGTCTATCTGGGTCCCTGACCATAGTAGTACAAGTGGTTCATAACTCATCCAATGCATTTATCCTTCCAATACTTCTCTTTTTTAAGAAGTACTGTCTTTTTTTTTTTTTTTTTCTTCTCCCCCTCTCCCAAACTAAAGTGCAGAGATTAAATAATTTATCGACTGCACACACAAATCTGACACTTAGCTGGGAAACAAATCTAAGTCTCTGGCTATCAGCCTTCTCTTTGGACTGTTATTTGTAATGCTTGTAGTTGGAAACATTCCTTTCACTTTGTCTCCAAGAGGGTAATTGCCCTTTGATGCAGTCGTTGATGAAATTATCATTCCTCTGTAGTCAGCTGATCGGATGGTGCTTTTCTGAGGTTATTTTTAGAAAATACTGAATACACAATGAGGGAGTTTACTTTGTGTACTCCCATCCAGACAGGTGACTAATCTAACCTTTGAGATTGCAGGGAATACAGGTTTATTGTAGTGGATGCAATTCAAATTGCTGAAGAGGGTGAGTAGAACTGTGTGACTTCTATGGGCTTTCTTAGTTTTTTTTTTTCCCCTTCCTCTGTACTACAGAATTCCGGGTGAGAAGGCCTCTGCACTTCTGCTAATATATTTCAGATGTGAACTGTAAAGATGCTGGAGGTGAAACTTCCAATGTATTTAGCAGTACTGTGACACTATAATGTTTACATTAAGGCAACATCTAAATCTGTTGGTTTGCATGGAATGCTGCAAAGATTTTGCTCAGCGATTTGTGGTCTGAATGGATTCAGTTTAAGAATGCACCCATAAATATGAGGGATAATATTTCTTTTTTGATTTAGTAAGTTCAAATAATTTGATAGGATCCTAGGGACTGACTTTTCCACATAATTTCTCTTACACAAATTATTGACGATAAAACAATGGTAGGTCAGATGTGTAGCTGCTGTGATTCACTTTTGAATGAAAACTGAAATGAATTTGTTGGGTTTTGTTTGCTTTTTCTAGCACGTATCATGCTAAATGGCTCTTGGCATAATATAATTTGTAGTGTTCAGTATTGTTCTTCAGAGGGTTCTAAAGACATCACTGTCTCTGGGACTCATACTTAAATTTTCTTGCAGTTTTACAAAGATTTTTTTTTTTTTTTGAATCACTTGTATGACCATAATTCTGCTTATCCCTTCTGGAACAATTGTATATTTTTATGTCTGCCCATATTTCACTTCAGTAAGCAAAATGGTTGCCTGCCTCTTCTTCCTTCTTTGAAACAAATTGGTTATAAGTGCTTGAGTATTCTGGACAGGATTTAAGCTTGAATTTTATGTTGTATTGGTGAAAGCTTTGCCTAGTGATAAAACAGAAAGATATTTGAGAGATGTGCAATTTATTTTGTTCAGCATAGCAGTGAGAAAGTTCATATGTTTGGGAGTGCAATTTATTAACTAAATTATCCAGGAAAACTGAAATTAAATTTTATTTTTTATATTCTGCCTGAGGAAGTGATATTGCTTGTTTCTTCAGCAGTGTCAGAACATACAATGGGTTGAAACTGTTTTAAGCATATTATAAGCATATGTTTTTAACATAGGAAGAAGATACTGTGTAAATAGTTTTTTTTATTTTAGATGATGCTGGGTGTACGTGATGCTGGTCACTAGCAAAAGGGGGAAGGTGTATTTTCATAGAATCATAGAATGGTTTGGGTTGGAAGGGACCTGAAAGATCACCTAGTTCCAACCCCCCTGCCATGGGGAGGGACACCTTCCACTAGATTAAGTTTGCTCGAAGCCTCATTGAAGCTGACCTGAAACACACTCTCTTTTTGTGGACGGGAGACAGAATAGGTTTGATGGAAGAGGGTGGGAGCAACTGGCCAGTAATTTTTTTAATTACAGAAATAAAGTTATCTAACTTAATAGTGTTATAACTACAGAAGGTTTCCAGGGCACAGGTTTACCAGAGGATAATCCAGTATTTCACATTTAATTTTTCTCTTTTGTTTTAGGCTCTGGATGTTGACCGAACTGTTCTCTATAAAATGAAGAAATCTGTCAAAGCCATAAACATATCTGGTCTGGGTAAGAATATTATAATTCTTGATAGTTTATACTGGTGAAATTGGAGGATTTAAACAGTCAGTCATCTTACTGAGTCGAAGTTATATGGGTAACACTGAGAAAAATGTACATTTTAAATAGCAGTCTTGAACTAGCTACTTGATCATGAGCTCAGTAAGGATGAAATTTTGTGAGGTAGCTGAACCTATCTAGCTGGCATACTGCTACCAAGTGGGGAAGCTGTGCTCTCCTTTCTAGTAGATCTGGGCTCTTTGCTCCTTCTGCCACCCCTGGTGCTTGGCAAATCCCTAGATAAGATTTTTAGCTCGTATAAGGCTGCATATGCAGTGAAGTCAACTTAACTGGGATTAGATGAGCACCTGAAATGGTAAGATATATGTATCATTGAGAGCTAAGGGCATGGGAGGGGTGAAATTACTCTCTTTGGCAGCAATAAGAACCCACATTGACTCTACTGCTTTGTGAAACCTCATCCTTCCTGGTGGCTTCCAGTTATGTATGTTGATGTCATGGTTTAGCTCCAGCCGGCAACTAAGCACCATGCAGTTGCTCACTCACTCCTCCTGCTCCCCGGTGGTGTAGAGAGGAGAAAAATATAACAAAAAGCTTGAAGATCAAGATAAGAACAGGGAGAGATCACCCACCAACCATGGTCAGGGACAAAACAGACTGGACTTGGGGACAAATCAATTTAATTTGTTACCACTTACATCTGAGAGGATTATGAGAAACAAAGCCGGATCCTAAAAGACACCTTCCCTCACTCCTCCCTTTTTCCAGCTCTACTTCTTCCCCCATAGCAGTGCAGGGGGATGGGGAATGGGGATTGCGGTCAGTTCATCACACATTGTTTCTGCCACTACTTCCTCTTCAGGGGAGGACTCCTTACACTCTTCTGCTCCAACATGGGGTCCCTTCCACTGGAGACAGTTCTCCATTAATTTCTCTGCATGAGTCCTTCCTGCAGAATCCAGTCCTTACCCGTCAGACTGTTCCAGTGCAGGCTTTTCCCACAGAGTCATGGCTTCTTGGGGCACAGCCACCTGCTCTGACATGGGTTCTTCCATGGGCTGCAGGTGGATCTCTGCTCCACCACTGATCTCTAAGGGCTGCAGGGGGGTGACCTGCTACCTCACTATGAGCTGCAGGAGAATCTCAGCTCTGGCACACCTCCTCCATCTTCACCGACCTTGGTGTCTGCATAGTTGTTTCTGTTTCATCTCCCTCCTCTCTCAGCTGCAGCCACACCAGGCCTGATGAACCTTGGCAGTCCCAGCAGGACGATCTCTGCCTAGCAGGCACCCCAGGAGTGGGGTGCTTTGGAGTGCTCCAAGCTGTGCTGCTGCAGCCATCTCCAGTCGAGTGGCGGGGGGCCAGCACCGGCAGGCCATGGGCCGACCCCAGACCCCCTGGCTTCTCCCTCTTTTTACAGCAGATCCCACATGGTTTCTTTGTCCCTTCTTAAATATGTCATTCATGGAAGCGCTGATGGGCTCGGCCCTGGCCAGATGTGGGTCCTACTTGGAGCCAGGGAAGCTTCTAGCAGCTCCTTACAGGGCCCATCCCTGTAGCCCCTCCCCTGCTACCAAAACCCCACCACATAAACACAACACAGTTTAAAACTTGATGATGAGAGAGCTGATGAGCTCCGTTTTTTTATTGTCACAGTGCACGAAGTCAGATATTTCTCTTACAATGCTGATAAAAATACAAAGAACTATTGCCACGTGCATTTTTATATGTGTGCCAATCTCGTGGAGTTTTGTGTGTTTATCTTTTTTTGAAAAAATAACTGAAGCTTTTGTTTTTGTGGATCCAGCAGCATTTTGTGAATAAAAACCAGCATTTGTTTTAGTGGATAAGAAACAACATTATGTTGGCTTTTGTTCTCGCTTTGCAGTTCATAGCGATTAGAGCTAACAAAACCTATATTATATGCAAAATAGATATGCCTGACGACCTTGGAGAGCCACCAATATCTGACTGAACTTGTGGGCACGTTGGTGTTCAGATATAAGCTTATAACAAGAACTGCTGTTGTGGTGTAATTCTTATCAGCTAGTTGAAAGGAAGTTCCTTCTTGTCTAACATAATGAAGCTGTTATCTTTGGATCATGGAGGGTTAAAAATCCAGTTTAAGATTCATCTGGAGCTGTGTCATCTGTTACATGTTTATTTAGCATTCTTTCTTCTGTTCTTTTGGTTGTGTGTTTTTTTTTTTTGTTTTTTTTTTTGTTTTTTTAATTTTGAGTGCTTGACTATGCCTCATAACCAGTATACTTGTTAGAGCATTGTAGCAAATCACTACAGTTTTTACATAAAATCAGTGCCTTGCCTAGTTTTCAAATTCATACTGCCCAATCTTGACACTAAAAGCGTGGAGGCGTTTCTCTTCCACCAGCAGAAATATCACTAACCCAGCCACTTGCCAGCCCTTGGGGTTTCTTTTGACAAAACAAAAACTGTGGCCCTGCACTCATAACACAGTTACTGCATTTTTAATACAGGTTCCTTGAGTATTAAGTATACATGTTTTGGCTTTCTTTTTTAATGTGTAAATGTAGAGACTGTTGTGGAGAATTAGATGGTGACTCCAATTTGTACATAATTTAGTTTCTTACTTAAAAAAAACCCTCTAAACCCTCAAACAACCCTGGCTCAGATTTCTTTTTTTAATAGATTCCAAACCTTTTGTTTGTAAAGAAACTTTTAAAATCCATGAGGAAGAAACCATAGGGCAGGGAGAGTATTTTGGAGGGTTCCATGAAAATATAATTTTGTTTTCTTTAGAAGCACTTGTGGAGTACCAGCTCAGCTAATAGTATTGCTGCAATAACCACCATCGGCATTCTTGGGAATGCCTCAGAGCTGCAGTTGAGCTGCTGGTTTGTTGGGTTTCATTTGATCTGATATATAGATCCAGAAAAACAGTCCCTAGTATGCTGGGGAATAGATAACTCTTGGGGATGCTGTATGGAATAGAAAGGTCTTGTTTCCTAAGGTAAAAAGTCAGCATCGTTCAGGTGCTGATTACACATGTTACACCAACTTACGGCAGCAGCCTTTTCACCTTGTTTTCGTGCAGTGGCAGCCTTCTCTTTTTGTTGTACCAATTCTGCCCTGACTCCCACCCTTGCCTGGGTTCAAATACACTAAGCTGGATGCAAGAAGCAGTAAGAGTGCAGAAGGCAATATGGAGATAATTCACCTTGCTGGGTAGCTGTGTGAACTAGAGGAGTTGCCTTGTTCAGGTGTGTGTACGTCAGACAACAGCATTAGCTGGACATCCTTACTTCATCCTACAGCTCAAGTAGCAAAAAGTTGGTTAAGCACTCAGCCCCTGCTGTTGATGCTGAGGAAAAATAAATACAGTTCAGTGCTAGGAGTTAGTTTTTAAACCGAATGGCTGTATGCAAACCATCTTTTACAGGCTGCAGATTCAAGCACTCAAAGTAGAAACTTGTAGAATTAATGGCATTTGTGTAACTTCAAGTTTGCATCTACATTATGACAGTCTTTAATTACATGATATTATACCACTGCTCCACGGGTTTTTAGTTTTATATATTGGAAATTAAAGAAAATTTGGAGCTACTTGAGAAATAAAATTCTTGAATGTCTGTTCACATTCCTACTTGGACAGCCAGACTTGTTTTTAAGTTGGAGCGTGCGAGGTTTATTGAACAGGTTGTATAACTAATTCATAGAAATTTGGAGAAAGGACATTGCATCAAGAATCCTTTGGATATTAAATGTATTGATGTATACAAATGGGCTTGAAATGAAACTGGATCATTGCTGTTTGAACAGATTAATCCTCTCTAAATAATCTTCAGGGTTTATGCTGGTCTCATGTAAAGACCATGAAAGGGTCTTTGTCCTTATTAATGCATAATTTGTTTTCTAGGCTGTGCATTTTTTTCCCTGACTTCCTTTGAAGGGTTAGAAATCGGCCAAAGCTGCAACTTTAACTTTCTCAGGTGCCAACTTGGTGTGCTTTGTCCATGTGCTCAAGCTTGACATGGTCAGCTTGGGTTCAGAAAGACTTTTTGTTTTATTGACAGGGACTTTCTCTGCCATTCTACACAAGCAAGTAATCTTATGTCCTAGGAGTGAATCAGTAGGTCAAAGTAGTTAAGACTGAGGCGCCTCAGATTTCCTTTATGTTTGAATTAGGAGAACTTGCTTTAGACAGATTTCATCTCATTCTCGGGTCTGAATACCCCTCCCCCCCCAACACATGCAGCTCAAAGCTTTCTGAAGGGCAGAAGTGTTAGGTGTGTGCTTGGATGGCTTGCATTGGTGCAGCCCACACAGTGATTCAGAACCTGCTCTCTACTCCCTCAAGCACTGGACCACTTATGGGGCAGGCAGAGCTTCTGTTTTTCTTCTCTCAGAAAGGAATCTAGTTGTCATGTACCAAAACTGCTTTGAGAACTGAGCTGTCCTGTGGTAAGTCAGACTGCTAGGATTTGCTTCAGGTCCCCACTGCTGCTCTGAATCAGAGAGCTATCATAGATATGGGTTTTGTCTTCATCTGTATAATGTGGTTTGTAGTCCCATTTCCTAAGATGACCTGAGAGTCTGATTTGATCTATTGCCTTATAATGTACAGATCCAGGACTTTGCCGACACATTTGATCTCCTCTGTTTCTTTCTTTAGCAGACAGTTAAATGTAACAGCACACAGTTAAAATTGGAGAGCTTTAATAAAAGACTCTAAAAGTTCGTTATAGGAGTTGGGAATTGTTATGCGGTCTCTGGTATGATGCAGAAATATTGTGAGTCTTTCTGGAGTGGATACCTGTCAGATGTTTGTCTTGTCTTGATGACACATTGTCCTTTGTACAGCATATGGATCGGTACACGTGAACCAGAGTTAGTAAGATATATCATACTTCTGGTATAACAGCGTTAAAATAGAAATGATAAATGTTTATTGTATCAAAGAAACATTCTCAGCAAGAAATTTTATGAAAAGTTTTTTTTAAAAAAACTCAAATGTAATTTCGATAACCTTTTATCTACTGATGATATTTTCATGTTTTACTCTTTTTGAAGCTCATGTGGAAAATGAAGAACAGTATACACAAGCACTGGAGAAATTCGGAGGCAACTGTGTTTGCAGGGATGACCCAGATTTGGGAACAGCGTTTTTAAAATTTTCTGTGTTTACAAAGGAATTAACTGCACTCTTCAAAAATTTGGTAAGAATTACTTAAGAAAAACATGTTGAAATTTTAAGGCCATTACAAAGGCTGTCTTTCTGAATTATAACAGCTTTTTATGTTGAAGACAATTTGTGTTTTAGCAACCACTCTTCAAAATTTCTCAGCTTAGGAAGATGTTTCTTGCCCTAGTCTTGCCCCTTGTAAAACTCAAAACACCCAAAACCACCACCAACAAAACAACTACAACAACAACATCAACAAAACCCCACCAAAACCAACAACAAAATAACAAAAAACAAACCACCATAAAACCCCACCAAACCAAACAACAAACTCTCTTCCAACAATTCTCACTTCTAAAAGCTTCCCACAATGAAGTAGTTACATATTATAAAATGCACATATCCGTTTGCTTTCAAATTGTGAAACTAGCAAAACCCAGCTTGGTTTACCCTGTGTTCGTGATGCTGTTACTTTACTTTTTCACACTTTCTATTTGTATTTATAAAGGGAGATTTTAATGTCCCTGAGAGAGTTTCTTGCTTCTCAGGGAAGAGAATCAGGAAAATAAAATCAAACATAACGCTATAATGACAATAGTGCCCACTGGGGACCAATCCTGCAACCGTAGCCAGTAAGGCTTAAAAGCACTTTTTAGTGAGCCATATGAGATGGAGCCAGATGAAAGAACGCAAATTTTAATTGTGAATGGAGAATTTTCAGCCTCGATTTCACATTAATCAGAGGCCACAAAAAGAGCAGATTCTGACTACATCCTACTAGCTAGAGCTTTCCCATGTCTGTGTAAGTCCCAAATTTACTTGAAACTGCAGAATTCCAAAATCAGGGGCTAGGGAAGGGAAAATGACCCAGATTCCTACAAGCATTTGAAAATCTGTGCCTGCTGAAATCAATGGGATGGAGACATATCAAATGCTTTTGTGAGTCTAGACCAAACGTCTGTAGTTTGCAGCCAGCTGGTCATTTAGGGAATGTTTCCAGCTGATGGGATTTAGGGCAGTCTCATTCACTCCCTGATGCTGTCCTCTCTTTTTACCCAATGGTGATATTGATGAGAAAGAACCTATCTCCAAATGTTTGTGTCAACAGTGAAATGTGTTTCATATTGGTCGTATTGATTTTAATATCTCTGGATGTACAAATATCATCTGAGATTACGTATCAGTGGAGGCATCCTTATTGAGTGTGAGTCACTCCTGAGTCTCCATACAGAGGGAGACTGCTCATATGGAAGGGGAAATAGAATGGGTCTTCTAATTGGTACCTTCTGTTGACTAAAAAAACCCCCTCTCTATCATATATTAATTGCAATATGGTGACTTCATTATGCAAATGGACCTGGGAAATGTCATGTTTAGGTGGTTTTAAAAAGCAATCTACTAAAAGCTGCACCCCCTCCCCAGAAAAACCTTTTAATGTATTATATTTCAAGAAGACTCTTAAAAGCTAAAAAATGTTGCCGTTTTACCATAAATCCTAGCAATTTGTCCTCTTAAAAATATTAATTACTATCTTTGCAAAATGTTTTTGACAAGAATAACTTTCCTTCCACAAACTGGAAAGGAAAATAAAGACCAAATAAATATCTATAGGAAATGAGATGCATGTTTTTATTACCTTTTCTTATCCACGTAAGCATTTTATGTGTCTTCTCCAAGGAATCTTTCTAAATCTTTTTGCTGTGTACTACTTTTGCACTCGCAACTATGTATTTTTGCTTCAGTTTCTATGTATAAGAGGATATGTCATGAGATAGTAGCTAAGTCTTTAGTTTTTCTCAATTTGTGATTCTGATTTTCTATATTTTGGAAGAGAATAATAATTTTGCTTGTACATGAATGTAATATTTTTTTCTTAGCGTTGCAATAGCATAGGCATCTTCTCTGTTCTCTAATACTGTGTGGTGAAGGACAGGTCTCTGTAAGGTTCTGCTCTTTACTAATATGCTTCGTATTGTTGAGGTTTGAAGTTTTTTGTTTTCTCCTAGCAAAGGACAACCAAAGAAATAGAGGAACCTAATGGTTCTTGAATTTAGAGTCTCTCTGTGAAAAAAGTTTCCTATTCTATAGGAAATACGATTCAAACAATGCGTTAGAAATGCTAAAGTGAGTAGTTACAAGGACTTTATATAGAGTAAACGTCAATTTATTTCTTCTCTTAAAGATGTGTTTTATAAATCACTTCAAATGTGAAGAACCAAGCTTCAAAGTTTTTTTTTGAGTTTTATGCAGCACTATTTAAAAGTGCACACATATAAGAAGTGTAGCAAAATACATATAAAAAACCCAAGACCTGAACTTTAACTTGAATAGTTTACAGTTGAATAACTGGATTCCAAGAAAAATAAACTTCAGCTGTTAATGAAATATTTTAAAACATTGATGCCTTGATAAGTCCACAAAAATATCAGTCTTTTGGGAAATCTTTAAAAATAATAAAGAAAACAAGAACCTAAAATCCCTGTTAAAGTAGAATAACTTTATAATGGCTTTCTTTTGCCTTACTTAAGATAAGTTTAAGGAAAATCTTTTTGCAGAAGCACTGTAGAGCTACAGCGCTAAATGCCACCCAGGCCAAGAGCTGACAGAACACATCAGCTTGTAGAAACAAAAGCAAAATATATGACAAAGCAAAACTTGACAGTAGCCCTAAAGCTTTGCCAGTGTTAATAGCTTTGGCATCTGTTCCAGTCTGAACACGTCCTCTCACTTCCTTCCACATTCCCCACTCATTTCAGCTAAACCTTCTGCGGAAATTCAGTGCCGGATGAAACTCCCAGTGAAAGTCTATTTAAGAGTGCCTATCAGAACATCTTTTTAACAGCAGCAGGTTGTATGGCACTGGTTACATTATTAATGAAACTATTTACCACCAAAACATACCCAGTGCTACAAGGAAACACCAGAGAGGGATGTTTTTACTGCTGACATGCTTAAAGCATTCAGAGTTGGATACTTCACCACACTGTGAGAATGCATGGGGCTTGTTCCACGTATGGCTATGACTATGAAAAAAAAAAGCACCCCAAAACATTTTCAACTACTGTATAGGACTTTTTACACTAGTCAATAACCTTGTGACCTCTTAGAAAACTAGATCTGCATCGGTGAACTTATGAGTAGATTTTCAAAGTGACCAGTTACCAACAATTTATTCTAGTGGTACTAACTTCTAATAGGCAAAGCTATACAAAATTGTAATTTTGTTTTATAATTATTTCAAAATTCTAGAATTCTTGTTTGCAATTATGGTATTTTTAAGCAATAATGAAGTTTACATCTTTTTTAATATATATTTCTATATATATCATGATGATATATATAGATGCTGGAGTTTCATCCAGCACTGCATAAAACTCAAAAAACTTTGAAGCTTGGTTCTTCACATTTGAAGTGATTTATAAAACACATCTTTAAGAGAAGAAATAAATTGATGTTTACTCTGTATCAAGTCCTTGTAACTACTCACTTTAGCCTTTCTAACGCATTGTCTGAATCAGTTTATGATATGCTGTGCATCATTTTGTCTCTTGCGATAGCTCCAATATCAAGCTGCAAATTTTTCTTCAACTGCTTCTGGATTAGAAATGTTTTTAAGAAGGCTGAGCCATCAGTGTGTCTTTTTTGGTAGTGAACTATCAGAAAATACTAGAGGTATTTTCACAGGTAACATAGTACCTTTTGTGGCATGTATGGTACTGTTTCTTGATGGTAACCTTTGTGCTAATTCCTGACAGAATGGTAGCACCCACAGTTCCCAGGTACGTTAGGTCTGTGTGGCACTTGCTTATAGTGTTAATTACTCTGTCTTCCTGATAAATTTAGTGCCGAGTGACAAAAGATGCGAGTCTTAATGTGAAAAATGTTAGGACAAGGAAGGGCTCATTGCAGCGTGTTTGCGCTTTAAATATTTTTTCCTTTAAATCCTATTCTTAGATTGCTACACCAAGAAGAAACAAAATCTGTAGTTGTCTGTCATATTTGTCAGCACTCCTTGAAATGAGGTTTGATCTGTGAAGATGAAGTAGCTGTTTAACAAATTCCATTTTCTGTGTTTGTTGTTCTTTTGCATACTCTTGTCCTTTCTTTTTAATTTATTTAAATTTAAAGCTAATGAAACATGCTGGATTGAGAGGACTGGAGTCTGATATTTCCACTCTGTGCAAGGTAGCTGGTAGGAAGACATTCCATGTGAGAAGTTTTTCTATTAATAATCCTTGGATTTTTAGCCAGGAGAAATGGAAAAACAGTGATAATATTTTTCTGACCATATGCTCCTGTTTCACTTCATTTTTTAAATGTAAGAAGAAAGATTTGCTTAAATGTTAAGGGTAACAAATAGCAAAGCTGAAGGAGATATCTTTTCTGAATTATATGATGAACTTAAGAAATTTATGCCCAGAATTTTCTTTCCAGGGTAATAATTCAAACCAAAATTAAAAAAAAAGAGTTCAGTTCCTGAACTTTCACAAGCATATTTTGTTTAAAAGAACTCATCTTAGTTAAGTGCATAAAAAAAGCTGAGGATATATGTATTTGAGGCTGGAATATTATATGTGAAGCTTAATGATTTAAGTTGTGTTGTTTCTGGTTTTCCTGGTACACTTGAGGAAAGATTGGCTTAATGGTGAGAGGAAAAAAATGAGAGTAGCGTTTGATTTATGCTTGTAAAGATATAAACCAATATGTAATAATTCCACCTTAGTGGCATCGGTTCAGCTCCACCTGGAATCTTGTCTTTATTTCTTTGCCAGAAAGATATTGATCCAACTGGAAGAAATTCAGAGGACAGTAACATTAAACGATCAGGGCTTGAATAGGTTGATTTATGTGGAAAGCTTAGACAAATTGGAAATGTATGGTTTGCCTCACAGATAACTGTGATTGTGGAAGAGTAAAATAATAAATTGCCTATAAATGAGATTTCACTGGGAAAATATTAGAGGAAGTGTCCCAGAGAAAGCGATAGAAGCTTACCACTTGGATGTTTTAACCTGGGTTGGAACATGTGCAATTGGGAATTCTCCTCCACTGGCGAGGAAGATGGGCTGGAGTAACCTTAAGTCTCTTTCTTCCTTTGCTTTTAAAATTCTTCACTTTATGCTTTTAAGAATACCTTTAAAAATCTATTTCCTGTCATTTTACACTTGTGCTTCCTAACAGAGAAGTTCCCAGCCTTTAGTTTGTGTACTGGTGGTGGTACAGATGCTATTTCCAAGTAGTACATGGTGGCAACACTCGATATCTTGTGTGCAGGCATTTTTCTTGGAGCCAGCAGCTCCATGTGAGCACTTAGTGGTGTTCACATCCTGCTCCATGGGAGTCCCTTTTCCCACAGCACGCATGGGCGGTGGGTGATGTTCCACCTCAGCCACTAGCCTGGTGGGACACAGTTCGTGCTGTGAGACCTACCACTGCTGCAAGTGGGGCAGAGGGGGAGGACAGCAGAAAGGCAACGTTGTGTCCTTGGTGCCAGAGGGAGGCGTGGTGCAAAGACGAAAGTTTGTACAAGTCTTTGTGTTACATGATCTTCTGAAGTCTTCGGGTTAGATGCTTGTCCTGGTTTTAGCTGGGACAGAGTTAGCTCTTCTTTTTAGCAGCTAGAAGAGCTCTGTGTTTTGGTTTTAGTCTGGGACTTGCTCTGAGAAGAATGTTCATAGCAAGCTGATGTTTGTGGTTGGAAGTGAGACTCCAAGGACTTTTCAGTGTGCCGTGTTCTGACCGGAGTGCAGAGGTAAGGATAAGGGGGGAGCATAGCCGGGGCAAGGGGACCACGATTCCCTTTGTGATTTGTGGTGGAACTTAAGATTGAGGGCCAAATTGGCCAATTAGTATTCCATATCATGCAGCGTCATGCCCAGTAAAAAAGTGAGGGACAGCCGGAAAGAAGGGCGTTTTGCGCTTTGCTCTTTCGCTGCTTTCGCTCTTTTGCGCTTTCACGCTTTTGCTCTGTTGCCTTTCCCCCCTCTCTCTTCCAGTACTTCCACTCTTGGAGTACTATCTCTCTCTCTCCCTCTCTGTTTCGGGGCCTTGCGTTCGTCCGGGATTGCAGCTTCGGGACGAGACGGGCTTCGCATACGAGGGGGTGGTGAGCATCTACACTGTGTATTAAATCATCTGTATTAAATTGTTCTCTCAACCCATGGGTTTCCCATTTCTCCTTTAATTCTCTCCCTCATCCCTGGGGCTGGGGGAGGGTGAGTGAGTGACTGTGTAGGGTTTGGTTGCCGAGCGGCCTAACCCACGACAATGCTTAAAGCTTAAAGTTGAGACAAACAAACTGTGTCTCATCCATAGCAGATGTTCTGATTTCCACTTGCTCCCTGCTGTGTTGATTGGCCTTATCCTGCTAAAGCTCACATCGCTGGGAAAACTCTTGGAAAGTGTTAAATCCAGTAGTACTGGCCATAAAAAAAAGAAAGTAACTTAAACAATGATTGTCAGCAGGCAGTGCTATCGTCGCGTGCGTGCACCCGAGTTCATTGGTGGTGAAGAAGGCCATAGCCAAGTGCACGGACTGCATCTAGCATTTAGTAGTGGCAACAGGAGTCATATCATACACTGTTTGACTGCCTGAATTTTAGCTTAAATTGAAAATGTTTAAGATCCACTTCGTTTATCTGTGTGTTGAGAAAAGTAAAAGGGTTGGGTTTTTTTTGTTTTGGCTTGGATTTAGAAAACCAGACCTACTGAAGTACTGCAGGCACCAGAATCCAAAGCTATTCTGGAAAAGACTCATTAAAGTAATCAGGAGGGCTGGCAAACGAAGAACTTCAGTGTTTAGCCATGGGCTCTTGAACTACTTGAAAGTCTTCTTTCCCCTTCGCAAATGTTGGCTTGCCTGTTGACTCTACCATCACTTCTGGCAGCTACATATTTGTTTATTTTTACGTTCTCCCTCCTGCCGTTTCTTCTTCTCCTCCTCTGAGCCTTCTCCAACTTAGGAAGTTTTAATTTATTACCCTGCCTCTGTCATCTTATCTTGTTGGAAGCTGTCAGAGGAAAATTGTGAGTCTGCCAAAGTAGCAATGTTGGAAGTGGAAACCAGGTCAACTATTTTTCTTTTTTTTTTTAAAAAAAAAAAACACATGGAACTTGCTAGGATGACTTTAATGTCTGTGAAGCTTTCCTGCACCTTTGTGCATGTTTCTTTTTAAAGAATATTTTAAAACATAAAACAGTCAAAATGTAGAGGCCGTTGTATACATTTTAGCTCCCTGTATGCACACAGAGTAGGAGCTGCAGCATATTAATGCCTCTCTGCGTGCCAAAAATGGGTCTATATTTTTAGATAGTTCAGCTTAAGCTTCTCAAGAAAGAGAGCAAAAACATGTAAGATCTTTCTTCTGTATAGTGCTTGCTGATTTATAAATACGAGCAAGTGTGATTCATCTAAATAGGCTAATAATGACAAGATCATGCATTATGTATGTTTACATTTGTTGCAAAGAAAATAGGAGCATAGGGAATACAATAGACTGACAGTAATATACAGGTGATAGCACACAGAAGGAATTAATTTGAATAGGCAAACATTCTCCAAATTTTTAAAAAGAATGTTGGTTTTTTTTCTCCTATTCTTTTTTTAAAGTTGTTTTGGACTTCAGGCCCCATGACTTGAAATTCCAGGAAACATCCAGAACTGTTTTTGGAGACTGATTGATGTTTACATGAATATGTCTAGGGTAATACTTCAGGGTCTGACATTTTTCCTTTCTGATTTAAGGAAAAAACAGTTGAGTCTACTGCTGAGAAATGCTTTATTCTTGCTTTGTGCCTATTTATCTGGGTTTGAAGAATAATGTAACACAGGCTATGAAAGTATTGATCTTTAGGTTAGACATTTGACTGCATCATACTGACAAAATGGAATAACAAAGTAGAAAACTTTGCATAGGATGATATCTTAGATGTGACCTCTTCTGCTTCTCTACCTGGATAGCCATTCTGGATGTGCAAGTCCATAGGTGTACGTATTCCATCTGTCTTCTTCTGGAAGTTTTTATCTTTTTACCAAAGTTTTGTGTGATTTAAACCTTTTCACTTATCTCCTATATCTACAACATATAATTTTATTAACTTTGAGCATTGTTATTTTGAGATGCAGATGTTGTAGTACTGCTGAGAACTTACAAGGGGGATCATTTCCAGCACTGCCAGCTAAGCATGTGTATAGATGTTGCTCATTCAATTTTTATAGGAATTATTTAAAAAAAAAACAAAACGTAGAGAGGCAGAATTTAACTTGTTGATTCGAAAGGGCTGTGGTCGAGTCCTGCAACTTTTTAGGGAGGAGGGAAAGTAGGGTAGAGGAGGGGAAACGTGCTTTATGGTAAGAGTTTTAAAGACCAGATTTTGTATATTTCTTCAACCTTCCCATGCAGAGGCAATCTGTTTAACTTTAAAATTGATGTATGCTCACTTTCTCTTTGATCACTGGCTGGAATTTAAAGCAAATACAGTAAGGTAGTATCTTTGAAGAGGAAGAGTAAGGGTTTGGGAGCTTTGTTTTAGTAGCAGCTGTTGAACACCACTGGGAATTGGGACCCTGACTGTTCTACTGAGGTCACCAAGTAACTGTAAGGTGATAATGTTTTGTATTTTTCCATTCTGGGGAGGTGGAAGCATCACAACTGGAAATATTTTTTCTTAAAGTTCCTGTTAGTGTCTGTCCTTCTCTGGATGGGTTGCACTAAAAGAGACTTTAATGTTCCTCACGTTGTTCCTGAAGAAGCAGAAGCATTTGTTGCTACATGATGCAAAGTTCTTTCTGTACTTTTAACATCTGAAATCCATCTTCATATATGCATTTCAGTGCTTCTTGAAAAAAATTACATTTTAAAAGAACAGCTAACAATAACATCAAAAAAGAAACCCATCCAAAGAGAACCTTCACCAAACTGCTGCAAAAGTTATTTTGATTTTTTTTCCATCATGTGGTTCTAAAGTACCCTGGTTTTTACTCTTCAGTGCAATCTATTTAGATTGTTACAGTTTAAACTCTGTCTGAACATCATGGCTTATACCTTGAATGTTTTCCCTGAACTGTAAATTGGACATGAAGCCTTTCTTTTCCTGGTGTATGCTACTTACTATCTTATTCCTATTGTCTTTCTTTGTTCTTTTTCCTTACCAAAACATGATTGTATAGATACTTACCTAAACCTAGGATTATTTTACTGTTGTCTTCGTTTGAAATTATTTTTTTTCTTGAATGACTTGTTTACTCTTGAATTACTTGCATACTCAATACCTCATAAAGTCCTTATTTCAGAGTTTGTTTGAGATAATTAAGGCAGATGTTTTACTTTTTAAAAATACATGGAAAATATTTGAATAGTGGCTTTTTTACAGGCCAGCATTCTTTGTCTTTATAACTTCTGTCAGACTAAGATGCCATGTATTGTGAGAATAGCAAATACGTTTTATGGAATAGGTCTGAAAAGATTGGAAAATAAACAAGATTAATTTAAAATATACTGACGAACTTAAAATATATAAGTGCTGAAAATTTTTACTGATTTTTTTTTCATGTAATTTAAATAGTGAAATCAGACAATGTAAAAATTAGTGGTCTTACTTTGCAATCGGTGTTGGATATTTGTCATCATCAGTAATTCTGCAGGTTTTCTACTGGCTTGGGTTATAGTGTTTCCAGAGCAAGTTTAATTAACTCATGTTGCCTCCATCTTTGATTACTGGCTGTACTGATAAACATCTTCATAAAGCAGTGTTAGAAAAAGAATACATAAGATTTCTTCGTGAAACTTTCTAAAATGTGTGAATTGAGACAGCGTATGTTCTGCGTTAAAATAAATGTCTCGTTGTAATTTTCTTGTTACAGATTCAGAATATGAACAACATAATCACTTTTCCATTGGACAGTTTGCTAAAGGGCGATCTGAAAGGAGTGAAAGGGGTATGTTTATCTTCTTATTTATGTAGAAAATTATAGTTGGTACAATAAATACATGTAGCTAGTGTGTTAACCTTATTTGATGGAAGGCATGGCACGCTAAAGTAACCTACTAGCTTAATAAACAAGAGGAGTTTTTTATGTGAATTGAGTCATGCCTTCTGTTTGTGGTTTCACATACAGCATGCTCTTAACTATGTATACAAAACAACATTTGAGAAGCTTTAAATCAGCCCTGAGATAAAGAAGATAGGCAGAGAAAGAGGTTTAAGAATTTAAATATTTACTTAGTTGAGGTGGGGGTAGTACTTTATTTAAAAGAAATATTGTTAATATATTTATTTAGCATTCTAAACTTACCTGGAACTATATGGATTATTAAGACAGACACATTAGACTTCATGAGCATAGGACTTTTCTTAACAAAGCTGAAATCTATTTGTGCCCTGAGGATATTTCCTATTTGAAATAATAATAATTTAGGGCTCAAATGATGATATGTTTATAATAAATTTCAAAGCCTATAGCAAACAAACTTAACTTGGCTTGTGCTTCGTTTACTACTGAGCAAACAGGAAGCGGCTGGCAGCTATTGTTCTAGGACATTGAAGGAAGAAGTAAAATGTACATAGACTAAAAATGCTCCCTGCAAATTACTGCAGGATAAAGAAATTATTTAGTAAGATAGGCTTATTATCTTCGTGCTTTTTGCTTTACCACATTTCACTCCTCTTGTTCTCTTTTTCTAAGTCAGAATAAATGCCTTTATTACAATACAGTGTTGCTGCATATTCCTGACTTGAGAAAATAATCAAATGCTGCTTTAATTAATTTCATAATTGTCACAATAACTAGCTGACATGTAAGAATTAGTTCCTAATCTATAGTTGAAAAGTTTTTCCAGCATTTGACAGTTAACAATATTGTTTTTGTAGTTGGCTGATCTCTTGACCTCCAGCAGAATTTCAACTGCTGCATTTTTAGACATCAGTGAAATAATTTTACAGCTTGTTAAGATCATTTTGTCCAAATTGGCTTCTTCAGAGGGAAAAAATACAGGAATTTGGAACATAAGTAATTCAAAATTCTCACAGAATTAGCTATGTTGAGCCGTATGGCCTATACTATTCCCATTAAGTCAATGGGAAATTGATTTCTTTAACTTTAGTAGGATGAATCAAGTCCTTAGCTAAGGCTATACCACAGCCTCAGGACAGGCACTTCTTTCCAGTGGAGCCAGAGGTGGAATGATGAGAAAATACCTGATTTGATTAATTGCATAGTATGCTCTTGGAATGACATGTGGTTATACCTTTTAAGGAGTAAAATGGAGCTGTAAAAAGCATAGTAAAAAGCATCCTAGAGATGCTTTTAAAAACATGAGTGTATTAATTCTGTGTACCAGATTGCTTTTAAATACTCCTTAGGTGAGCTATTCAATATAGAGTGGAGTACTTTATTCTAGCAGGCACTGCAAATTGCTGAGGTGTTTAGATCCACAGTATTTTTCATGTATATAACTAACTATATTTTTTTCTTTTTTTCTTGGCAGGACTTGAAAAAACCCTTTGATAAAGCTTGGAAGGACTATGAAACAAAAGTGTATGTATCTTTTAAATTTTTAAATAAAAGCAAAGTATGAATGAGATCTATAAAGATCATTAAATAATCTTAAGGTCTCAGCCAGAGGTCCTAGCTGGGAAGCTAAGCTTTCCCCCCCAACTCCTTTTTTTCCTTAAAACCTGGAGCTGTGGGAAAATACAAGTTCATAGATACAATCATTTCAAATTCTGTAATATACAACTTATTTAATGGGTAAATTGTCTTTTGTGTGTGTGTCTTTGTGTGCCATGACAGTTAGTGTCTGTGGTAGACCTTTGCTTAATGAAGTTCTAAGTAACGACCATAATCTTGCAGTGCATGTTTTTCCACTGCATATTCTTCCACATTAATTGATAAAGTTTTGCTTTAATTGGGAAAGAAATGTTTTATATTTTTTATAGTGTCCATATTACTGTCCTGTAATCTACTACATGTGAAAGTCCACTTCCTTTTCTGCCTTCCTCTACTTTTGGAGGACACTACTATATAAAGTGAAAAGTTATCCACCCTGTATTTTCATTCTTAACTATCAAAAGTGCATCAACGTAATTGTACTTGATGTCCTTTTAAGCGTTTGTTGTTGTCGTTGTTGCTTTTTTCCTTCTCCTCATCAGTGACTAATTGACTGTAATTAGCAAGTTTCTTTCGTTGAAGAGCACAGAAGAAATTACATACTTTATGCCTGAGTGTTTTGAAATGTCTTAAAAAATATCAAGAGTACGCAAGTCAAGATTTAGTTCTGGATTTGTTAGCCTAAAACCTTTGCGATGACTCTGTAATGTCTCTGGCTCTAACACATCTTACGAGACTGTGCCCAATGCTGAGGTCTCTAGGAAGACCTTATTTGACGCTGAGCCTTTGGCACTTACCAATGAGGTGGTAAGTAAGGCTAGTGAGGACGTTTGCTGCTACCATTTCAAACTGGACATGATTCCAGGTTGATCCAGTACCAGGAACCTTAGTAAACCACACTTAATTAGTGCAGTTTGTTTAAGGATATGAATGTTTTCTGCATTTACTGCCAAAGTTGGATGCTCTCCAGGGGTATTATGTACTAGAAGTGGATGAACACCTGCCTGAGTCCTGTCAACTGTGTCTCATGTTATGTGTCTAGCCCAACTTACCATAAGCCACTTGTTTGAAGGTACCTGATGCACAGTGTAAACAGCTATGAAATCAGTTTTAGTAACAGAATTTTATATCCAGCTAAATTAATCAAATGAGTCAACAAAGCTCAGCATCTAAGATCAAACAATTAATTTTGGTACCTTGTAAATCTTCAGTGGTTTAGTGCCCTGCATTGGAACAGTTGTTTCCTGGGTTGGCCAAGTCAATTGTATCAGCACAGCTGATAGATAGCCTCTGAAGTAGAATCTTGTTAGCAGGTTTTGTTCCTTATTCCAGTATTACCTGGATTCTGACTATCAGTTGGATTTCATGTCACACATCCAGCATCCTTGATCATCTGAGAAAGTGCTGCGTGTATCAGACCATTTCTGATGATGCAGGTCCAGGAGGATCACATATGATGATATTGTTTAACGTAAATAGCAGCCACCTAGATTGGCTGAGAATCTAGCACCATTTTTTAATATTTTTTAATTCCTCAAAGTTATAATGATTCTTTCATGCCCACTGAGTTGGCCTGTCTGAAGTCATGTGCAAACAGTCTTCAGAGTTTATTCCTGTAGGTGGTTTACTTGCAAAAGCAACAAGTTTAATGAGTTAGCCAAATTTCATTATTCCATTTATGAATAACAATGAGAATGGTCCAATTACTACTTTCTAGGCTCAGTTTGTGAGGAGGACCTGAGTGGCTTTTGGTTTTTGAAACTGCCTAGCTATAGCTGGATTTTCATAACAAGACATTCTGAAATATTGAGGTAAACCTCCAGTCTGAAAGTCTGGATCCTTGAAAGATTGTGGTGGCTCCAGTGTTTTGTGTTCTTAATACCAGTGAACAATCTCATTTGGTGCATGCCAGTTATTGGCTGTTGAAGTAATTAAGATTTCTAATCATTGCCCATGGCAGTAGTTGATCTCTGAGGGTGGGCCATAAAGAACAGTCCTGTATTTAATCTGCTATTGTCTACCAGTGCTTGATTGCTGAATCTGAAAGCCTTTTTACTTATGTATAACTTAGTGACATCCCACAGAGTTTATGTGCAGAATTTAAAATATGTTTGCGCACTGCTGGGACATACATGGAGCACACTGTTACTACTGGACGAAGATCTGTGATGCTTTTAGAATTTCTGACAGAATATTCACCCGGAATGAGTATGTTGCAGTGATGTAACTGTTTGTACTTGATCCTCAATTTGGTTAGAGCAGGTGGTGTGTTTCGGAGTCAGGTACTCCAGAAAAATTTTCATTTGTTTTTTAACTTAGTTAAGTACTTGAGAAGTTAAAATGCCCGTAGAAAATGTACTTGAATCTGTGTATGTGAGTTTAAGGACAGTTTAACTGGAAATGTTGTTGTGTATGTTATTTCATTGAGGACCTGAAAATGTGATGTTGACATTATGTTTATTTTCTGTCTGGGGGACTGAATCTAATGCTGCTTGTATGATATCATGAGATTATTTTTTTTTCCTTTTAACCAACAGTTCTTTAGAGAGCCCGCTTTATGACTTTGCTTACAAATAAGACACTTCATTTTTGATCCGAAACAGGTTCCTTTTTCCACTGTAAGGAGATACCTCTTTCCAAGTCACCTCTGTAGTTTCTGCAAGAATTTTTTAACAAATGAAGCACATCTCCATGACAATGCTTATTTCTAAGCCATTTATGTGTCAGGTTATTCAACACAAAAAAAGTAAAGGTAGTACATGTTCATCAGGAAATTCTTTCAGATCCTTTACCATTTTCTGTTATATTTCCAGGTGGTGGGCTGGTACAATTGCTGTGTGCTCTAGTTTTTTTAAGTGGTTAGATGAAAGCTCCACATCAATGTTCTAGAGTTTAAAGCTCTTAGTCTAGCCTGTTGGACTCCTTCACTTTGAACAAGACCAAAGGATCATCTGTTTGAGGCTTGGGATAAGGAGCCTGGGAATTCTATGTAGTAGAACTATTCCGTAGTTATGTTGAGTTACATTCAGACTGGAACTTCCCCGAGACCCCCACCTCTGCAGTAGGACTGTAGGATTTGTCAGACCCTCTTGTGCATTAGATCATTTCCCAGATAAATTGGATGTTGCCAGCTATCATTGTTGAGTGTTGGTCTCTACAAATCAGAGATGGGGAGTTTAATGATGTGATTTTGAAGCTAGGGTGAGAATACTAATTTGAGTCTGAATCCGTTGTCAGTTTTATCATCTACTAAATTATGGACAAACAGAAACAGTGTTTTTCTGGGTTGCTATTATATATACCACTGAGGTTTCTTGAGATAATAACTGTTTTGATTCTGTGGCTGTCCCAAATGGATCTGAACTTCCTTATAGCTGTGCATTTTGGTCATCTGTGGCAGTGGGTGGATGCAGAGTCATTTCAAGAATTCTTAAGTCGTGAATTGAATTTCTTTGTTGTGGTATCTTCGCAGTCTCTGCCTTAACAAAAAGGGCAAAGGGACTGGGAGAGCTAACTTCAGTCGCACCTACAGCTTGTGTTGCTAGAGTGGGATGGTGGATGTAGGTGTTGATAGTCAGAGGTTTGCTCAGCCTTCTTCAGACTGTTACCTTAGATGACTCCTTGTTTGGACTGTGCCTAAAACCAGTCCTAGGTTTATGCTTAGTTAACTATCTTTTCCAGTGATACTTCTTCAAATATGTGAATATCTCTTTTTATTCTACTTTTTTTTTTCCTTTTTTTTTCTTTTCCCTTTGGGTTAACAAGCTGTTCTAGGCTGCTCTTTGTCTACGTATCCCTCTGTATGATATACTTAAAATCATACCATTCATCTGCATTTCCTAGCCACAAGACCTATGAAGCTAAAGGCCAGATATCAAAGTGGTGTTTTTGTAGTCTGCAGAGAAGAGACAGTGTCTTCATCCTGATTTCTGTCTCGATAGGCGGTCTTTACAAGGAAGAATTGGAGCTTATTTACCTCAATATTTCATGTCTCTTACTTGCACCTTTGTGATGACATATTACGTGCTAATATATCCAAGTGTGACCTATTCATAAAGAAATTCAGTTAATTAAAAAATGACATTTGTTTTGCTTTTTCTCCATAACAATTTCTGAGCTGCTACTTCAAGCTCTGTATATAATTAAATGTGTTTTTAAAATTATTATGTATCTAGTCTTGTTTGGGAGAGTGATGTTAAGATCCATTCTTATGCGCTTGGATCACCATCCATCAATGTTGATTATTATGCAACTTCTTCACCTTGCAGCTACCTAAGCTCTCAGAGTATTTTTCTGAAGATCACCTTGGTGAAAGTAACTGAGGGAGGCTGGATCCATTTTTCTTTATACCTGGGGACTGTTCTCAAATAAGGGAGTAAGAGGAGCAAGTAACTCATAGCTTTATGCTGGCCTACCTCAATCAAAAATTGGGAACATCCTGAGGTGACATTCATGAATAATTCATCTTTTCTCACCATCAGTCATTAATATGCTTCAGTTGAAGCCATACAGATTTAAAAATATTCTTAAAGTTTTCAAGTAGTTTAAAGCAGGGCATTTCTCTTAGGGCCACGGTTGCAGTCTTTGTTTCCCGTACAAGAGCTGGACGACACTGTGTGTCACTACAGCACCACAGCTGTACTGGTCTGTCTGTGTCCTTTGGTCAGAATTAGTGCAGTCTGGGCACTTTTTGTTACGAGGCAGTCGCTTACCCCCATGTACCTAAACACTAATGGCAGACACACTGGGGTAGCATATGGGGAAGGAGTACACATGTCATAAAAAACTGCTCATTCTTCCAGCAGGCAGACCGTGTTCAACAAGGCAGCAAGCCAGATTTCACCCACATTCTTCAGTTTAATCGGTCCTGTTGTGGTAGATTTTGAGGTAAAAACGTTGTATCCATTTTGCAAAGGAAATAGAAGCAT